GTAGTAACAATTTTCAGTTAATGATTGCATAAAGGTAATTGTTACGTTACAGCAGAAAGTGGGTTCTGCAGTAGCAAGTGGGCAATCCTCTCTCCAATGTTGTTTAACATCTATATGTGCCCCCTCGCCCAACTGGTATAGAGTTTCAGGCTGGGATGTAAAAGTATAGGTATTAAAATCAGGTTTTTCAAATGACATATTCCGTAGCCGCCCTATCTCTAATTTTCCTTGCAACATGGGCACAGAGTGTCATTCTATAGGAAATGGTGGGATTAGCATCCGAAAGCAAGAAGGTTACTGTATCAGTGCCTAATGTGGGTTGTAAGGTTGTTAGAATTGGGTTAAGGAATTTGATTCTAGGACCTATATACAGAGGGCATTCTAAGATGTTGTGTGTTAGGTCTTCAACTGAAGTCCTGCACAGACAGATACGTTGGTTGTACGGGGTTTTGAGATATCGTCCTTTTAGCATCTCAGAGTTGTAGTAGATAACTCACTGAAAATGTCGAGACAGTGTGTGACTGCAATAAAGAAGGCCAATGCTATGCTGGGGATTATTAGGAAGGGTATTGAAAACAGATCAGCCAATATCATAATGCCCCTATATAAATCAATGGTGCGACCTCATTTGGAATACTGTGTGCAATTCTGGTCACCCCACCTTAAAAAGGATATTATAGCTTTTGAAAAAGTGCAGAAAAGGGCAACTCGAATGATAAAAGGGTTGGAACACTTTTCCTATGAGGAAAGGTTAAGGCGCTTAGGGCTCTTTAGCTTGGAGAAACGACGACTGAGGGGTGACCTGATTGAGGTTTATAAGATTATGCATGGGAAAGAGCAGGTAGAGAAAGAGGTACTTTTCTCCCTTTCTCACAATACAAGAACTCGTGGGCACTCCATGAAATTGCTGAGCGGTCGGGTTAGAACGGATAAAAGGAAGTAATTCTTCACCCAAAGAGTGATTAACACTTGGAATTCACTACCACAGGAAGTGGTGGCGGCTACAAGCATGGACGGCTTCAAAAGGGAATTAGATAAGCATATGGAGCAGAGGTCCATCAGTGGCTATTAGCCACAAGGTATAGATAAGGACTCTGGGGCAAGTGATGCTCTGTCATCTTGGAGCTTGGGGGAGTCAACAGTGGGAGGGCTTCTAATGTCCTGGCCCCACTAGTGGACCTCTGAGGGCACCTGGTATTTCTAGCCACTGTGTGATACAGAGTGTTGGACTGGATGGGCCTTTGGCCTGATCCAACATTGGCATCTCTTATGTTCTTATGTTATGTTCAGATGGCATGGTCTGAAAATGAAGAGCATTTAAATTGTTTAGTGCAAAGCTAACAGACTATTTTGACAAATGGATTTCATCAGCCAAAGCTGACTCTAAAGAAGGAATAATTATTTTAGATCAATTTCTTTTTCAACTTCTCTCAGAGATAAGACTTCTAGTGAAAGATAGGCTTCCAGAAAATGTCAAAAAGGCAGCAGAATGGGCTGATAAGCTAATGCTTAATAGAGGGAGTTGGGACTGGCATGAAAAGAGAGGCTGTCTTTATAAACCAGCTTTCAAACCAAAGGTCCAGCCACAGAGAAGTTCAGACTCAGAGAAAAAGGGGACATATGAGAGAACTGAGATTACAAAGAGACAGGATAAAAATATAGAAGAAAACAAAGGGAGTTACTGGAAAGACAGACAATGCTATGTATGTGGTCAAAACGGGCTTTTATCATATCAGTGTGCAAAGAAACAACCTAAACAGACAAGCCCTGAGCATGTACTAGATTTACCTCAGAAAGAGAGAGAACAGCCTAGAGACGCCAATGGTACAACAGAGACACCTGAGAAATCCAGTAAAAAAAAACTCCCTCACTTATAGCTGAAGAAACAATTTATTTGTGTGGAGTAAAGATAGATAACATTGTTCCCAAAGTGTATAGACAAGCCTTGATGGAGATGGCACCAGCAGTTACACATGCTTTGGAAAAATTCACAGTGTATACACTGGACCTTTCTGTTGTCTTTGAAGTTGGTGCAGAAACACCAAAAGAAAAATGCACAAAGTTGATCAGTGAGGCCAAGAGGACAGCACCAAGTATAATATACGTTCCTAATGTTCACTTATGGTGGGAGACAGTTGAACACACCCTAAAATCTACATTTACTACACTGATGCAGAACATTCCATCGTTTGCTTCAGTTTTCTGCAGGTAACATCAGATGTGTATCAGATGTGTATCATGCAGCTTTGCCAGATGAGGTACAAGAATTATTTGCTACTGTTTCTTTAGTTTCTCCCTTCTGTGAAGATTTAATTCTCTAACAAGCTGCTAAACCTCCTGCATCAAAAAAGAAAGCAGTTTTGCAGGTTTTGGAAGTACTACTGGTAGCACCTTCCCCTAAACTGCAGCAGCTGACGGAGGCAGAGGTTAAATGGCTTGAGGAGCAAGAAGACACTTTACGTGAACTTTGTATTTTCTTAAGAAATGTTACTCACAGGCTTACCGTTGACAAACGTTTCAGAGTCTTTACAAAACCAGTTGATTTGCACGAGGTACCAGACTATGTCACAGTTATCAAGCAGCCAATGGATCTTTCATCAATTAGTTCTAAAATTGATCTTCACCAGTAAAGGACTATCTGAAAGATATTGATCTGAAGCAATGCATTGGAGTATAATGCAGACAGAGACCCTGGAGATCGTCTCATCAGACACAGAAAAGCACATTTTATGAAATATTTTCCAGAGGAAAGAGTAAAAGCAAACAACAACCTAGCGGAGAAGACCAAAGCCGAGATTACCTCAGCCCAGCAGTAAAACATTCCAGAGATGACCGCAGCCCTGCAGTGGACAAGGGGGGGATTTGCAATGATTTCATGTTTTGGTGTGTGTGTGTTTCTTTAAATGTTTAGTTTGACTGCAGTACTGTAAGGAGAGTGACAGAGGGAGATAAGTGTGATATGATTGGCTGATGACTGAGAGTGTGGGAGGAGAGGTGTCAATGAGAGAGATTCTGTGTGTGATGTCTGAACAGAGAGCATAGTCTATGTGACTATGGGAGTTTTTTTAGTCTATTCTGTGTGAATATAACAAAGAGTTCAGCCTGTGTGGCTATATAGATATGAGAGAGAGAGATTAGACTGAGTGTTTACATCTGTCACAGTGGAGTTTTGGGAGTTTGAGAGACTGTTTGTGACACCAAGCTTTGCCAGTTATATTTACAAGTTCCTTTAATCAACAACAGTTCAAAATTATTATTATTGTTATTATTATTACTTTCAATTTATATCCCACCTATGCTGGGGCAAACTGGCTCAAGGCAGCGTACACAATTAAAATGTGATAAAACAATAAATATAATAAAATTCACATAAACAACAATTTACATAATGTGTTGATAATACTGATAGCGGCGGTTACTATACATGGTCCAATGAAGAGAGGCAATATCCAACGATGAACCATAGGGCCGTAGTATGTCCAGTTTCTGATGTCTCATTCATCAGTGGCGGCTTCTATTCCCATTTATGTGGGCGGTATTGGTGGCTCCTATTCCCATTTATGTGGGAGTAAGTCCCAGAGATCTGAATTGGGTTCATTTCTAAACAGACCTGCCTGGAAATGGGCTGTAAATATGATTAAATTGTTCCACAATATTCAAGTTCCACAAAACAGGGTATAAGGGCAAAGAGTTCTAACTAGCCTTCATGGTATGCCTTATACAAAGACTTTTTTTGACATGGAGAATCATACAATACTGTGAACCCCATTACCCACCGGTCCAGAAACATAGCTACATTATCTGTTATTTGCTAGATTCAACTAATCTCTGACTTGATCAGCAAATTTGTGGCAAATTAGAGTGCACAAACCACAAAGGAATTTGCTATCTTAGTTGCAAAATGGCCAGAGAATTTGTAGCAGTGAGGCTGCCTCCTCACCAAAAGCAGCTTCTGAGAAGTAAGGCTGTGTTGCACATGTGCTGCTACTACTTCTGCATTTAAGGTAGCATGTGGCATTGCCTGGATTTAGGAGCTCCTGGGTCTCAAGTGAGTATTGATTCTGATTTCTCTCTGCAGGGAAGTTGATTGCAGTGATTTGGCTGCAAGTATCTCTGCATGACTTGCTACACCCCACTTCCCAACTTCCTCAAGGCCACATAGTCCTCTGAAGTGCCCAGACCCTGGGTCATTCTACCAAGAGAGATTTGGATTTTTTAATTCCTGGTGGCAGCCGAAATCTACCAAGTTTATGTACACAGTGGGTGGTTTAAAGGTAAAACCGTCTCCCCAATAAGGGAGGAAGTCACAAGCTGTGACTAAATTTCTGTCTCGCCAATGAAAATACAGGCTGTGATAATGTCCCACGTATAATGTATTCTGGATTATAATGTATAACCCTTAAATTCTTAGCTATATTAGGAGGAATGACGTATGCTGAGATTAATTATTTTCCGCCGCCCCCCCCCCGCTTCTTCTGAATAGCCCGTGGGCTATAATATTAATTTTAAAAGTTCTGCGTTAAACTCCATGCAAAGAGAAACCAGCACAGCCAAGAAAACGGAAAGGGGTAGGACTTCTCGCCTTACTCTGCACGCATTTCTATTTGCACTGTTTTTTAAATGTACGGGTCAAAGGTAAACCCTCAGTCTGAAGAGATGGTGCAGTGTATTATACCACCTCACGACTCCACCGCTTCATAAACCATTCGGGACAACTTAATCTTAGCTCCGCCTCCACGCTTGGCTCTTGCTGCCCTCTGTCTTTTATGTTTAGTAACCAAAGGCAGCGACTGGTTCCAAATCGATCTCGCGAGAGCGTTGGCGACATTCTCGCGAGCTTGCCAAGTTCAGTCCAAAGAGGAATGAAATGTGGAGCCAAAAGCAAAACAGTGACGACAGTGAGGGGGCGGTGCCTATGTGCTTCGGGCTCTTTCCGGTCGTTTCTAGACGGCGGAACCTCCTCAGCTTGGGTAGAGCGCTCTGTTTCCGGTCGTTCCGCCGGTCCTCGCTGAGAGTCGAGGGAGAGGAATGGGGGACCCTCGGGGAGCCGGAGCCGAACTGAGCGGTGCTCAGGGAGTCGACCCGGTAACACCGGAGCCTGGCTCAGCGTCGATGGCGGGAGAACGAGAGGAGCCTAAGCAGGTACTTCAGCCGCGGCAACTAAGTTTCACACACCCACTTTTCTGTCCCTTTTCGGGTCTCTCGGTCAAGGGCCAGTTCACACGCGACCAGCTGGTGCGTGCGGAATGCTTGCATGATGCAGCCTGCAGGGAAGAGACCGTGGTAAGGTGTGAGCGCGACGCAGACGAAAGTATTTACATACAGGATGTCTCGTAGATACCGGTTTCTGTCAGCAGTCGGTGGGAAAGTAAGAGGAAAGGGCCGATTTCCATGGTTTTATCGAATTCCCCCCTTCCCCGTCTTCTCCATGTTGTTTCTCCCTTTTAACTTTACTGTCGCCAGCTGGAGAGGAGAGGAAGGGTCACTTTGCTGTGGCTGGCATCAGGTGGTCACATCAGTGTTCATAGGGATGCATATCCTATATTAAGGTTGGTCTTAGGTCTTTGCTCTTCCTATTGTCATGCCTCTAGTGGTCCTTAAAATATATGCATTGGGTTTTGTTTTTTCTTTTCCCCAAGGATAGAGATGTGTTTGGGTCCTACAAAATAATCTTGAGAACACATTGGTATTCACTACTGAAATAGCCATAGGGGTGTATCAGGAATCCTACCCAAATGGCTGCAAGTGGTTTTCTCTTTCCTGTTGGTCAGATAAGCATATTGTGCATAGTGACTAGATGTCTGGCCCTGACCTGGATCGCCTAAGCTAGCCTGATCTCACCAGATCTTTGAAGTCAAGCAAGGTTAGCCCTGGATGGGAGACCACCAAAGAAGATGAGGGTTGCTGTGCAGAGGCAGGCAGTGGCAAACCACCTCTGAACATCTCTTCCCTTCTGATGATCCCTGCTCGATGACACACAGAAAAAGCTAGGTACATGACAAAGTAGCTGCAGGGGTATCCCTTGAAATGTTTTAATTGCTCATATCCTTTTTGGGTGAAGTGGCCCATATCAGATATTGATCCTGGGAAAGGGGGGATAATGTGCTTTGCCAGGGATATGGTTGTGGTTTGCCCACTGTAGTGCACTTCAGATTAAGCTGATTAATAGGATAAAGCTACCTGTAAATTTAGCAGCAAACAAATGACACGTCTTTGTACTTCGCTGGTGTGCAGGGGACTTTGGCACTTCATGTTTTGTGGAGAACATTCTTACAACGCAGGAAACTCTGTAGAATGAAAACACCATCTTAGTAAACAACTGTTCTCTGTTGTGCTTTGCATCATTTCTTCTCAGGTACAAAAGATCAAGGGATTTCTCCAGAGAACGCATCTCCTCTGAGAGGAAGCTGTTGAGGGAGAACACTCCGCATCATCCTTGGTGCTCTGGAGAGTCCATATAAGACGAACATGGAAGGGTTGTGTGGGGTAGTTCTTGTCACAGTAGAATACGTGCACTCCTATTTGGGTATGAAATAAGAGAAGGTATTTCAGTCAGAAAAATGGCTGAGGTGGAGCATTCAGTTTGCTTCCCCCCACCCACCAGCAAGGATTGGGGTTGCATCTGGTAAAAATGCTGTCAAGTCACAGGTGACTTAAGGGCCCCCCCCCGGTCAGGTTTTCAAGGTAAGAGATGTTCAGAGGTGGTTTGCCTGCCTCTGTGTCATGACCCTGGTGTCCCTTGAAGGTCTTTCAAGATCTGACGAGAATGAGCTAGTCTGGGCATTACTCTGTGCATATTTTCTTGACTAAAGCCTTGTAAAAACTTTCAGAACTGTTGCCATGCCCACCAAGCCATGGAAGTGCCTGTAACCACAGTTACAGATAAAATTGGGAAGTGCTAATTTAGTGCGTTCTTATAGAGGACATCTGTGTATAAGGACATCTGTGATGAGGAGTGATTGAATTAGCACTACTTAACTAATTAAACTCTTCATTGTTTCTGCAAACTAGGGATCTATCTTATTTCTTGGAGGCAATGAAATAAAGAGCTGTGCTGTGGTAAAATATTCATCTGCTCCACCACAAGCAGCATTTGCCCGTCTCCAAGAGAAGACTGACCTAAAACTGCCCCCTGCAAACTGGTTACGTGAAAGTGCCAAATTGGGACCAGCGGGGGCAACTATTCTTGGTAACAGCAAGAAAAGCAAACCATTTTCCAGGTATATATTGTGAATCCTGTTTATTCCCACTACTGTTGTTTATGTGGTGCCATCAGTGTGCATGGTTCAGAAGGGAAGGGGAGAAGAGAAGTCCCTGCTTGAGGAGTTTACAGTGTAAAATTTGACAGGGAGAAGGGGAGAGAAGTTGAGATAGATAAATGGGGGAAGAATACGCTTTCATTCCAATTTTGAAAAGGGAAGGGGAGTAAACCCATGGGGAAAGTATCTCTATTTTATATAAGGCAGGTTATGAAATAATACATTTTATAGAAATATGGCAGGGTTGTTGAAGGTCTTCTACATTTTTGTAATAATTTTGCCTTCTGAAAACATCTGGTTCTTGTACAAGTTTTAAACTTAATTTGTAGGGTCACTAATCATGCATTTTAAATGGGGTAACTTTACATTCATGTAGAAAATTTGTGATGGTCAGATATATAAAATGGGCATACTTGGTAAAGCAAAGTGTCTTGAAAGGCCCTACTGCTTGTTTCCTGGTGTGTAATGGGAGAGTAGTTTATGTGACTTTAGTGTAACTGAATGCTACTATTGGGAAATAATTTAATTTTAAACACACGGCAAAATATAAGATTGTTACTTTGAATGCTGTACTTAAAGTAACTTAGTGTTGTTTTTTATAGCTTTGGCATGGCATATGAATTTATTGACTCAATTGGAAATGATGTGGATGTTGTATCTGATTCTGAGGTATGTGTATTTTGCACGAATATAATGCAAGGTATAACTGATAGTAATTAGCTTTCATTTTTAAATTTCATTCTTGTTCTTTTAAGAGAGGTTGCTGAACAGCCATGATGAAATGATTTTGAGAATTATATTTTATTTTATTAGTTTTACCTATGGGAGTTTTACCTTTTATCTGAGAATACACGTGCACAATAATTGTGCTTGCCATGTATTTCTGTGAGATAATATTGAAGTACTTCAAAAGAACAGTGAAGTGCTTTCTATCTAATTGAGCAGATAAGCAAAATCTAAAACAATATGCAGCGTTTGGTACAGTAAACTATACACAGCAAAAGTTTTTATAACTCCTTAAGAGTATGAATGAGCATCATACTGTAAGAACAATTTTTAAGTTGTATGTGTATTTCTAAAATTAGAAATTGGAACAGCCACAAACTTCCACGAACTTAATAGGGATCTGCTCCCCGCCACTTTGAGGTGGGGTAGCAGAACCATATATGGAGCCATTTAACCCTCCATTTTTGCTCCCTGCCATGTTACCTCTGAAACCTGCCATTTTCACAGGGAGCAGAAACCAGGGGTTTAAACTTTAAATGGCTCATGAACCTTTACAAACCGGTTTGGTTTGTGAACCAGCATATCGGTTTGTGTAGTATCATGGTTTGGTTTGTGGTTCATCCACAAACTGAATCCCCAAAATGCAGTTCGTGCTCATCAGTAGCTGAAATAGTGCCTTGAATTACTATATTTGATTGCCTCTTCAAATAAGATTTTTTTTCATTGCAGGAGAAAAATCAGAATACAATTTTT